CACACACGCACACACACACACACACACACACACACACACACACACACACACACACACACACACACACACACACACACACATACACACAGCTCCATAATATCATATGAACAAAAATAATGACACTAAATACATGTAAAGACAATACACATGTATCCCATATATACATACACATCCCCCACACCTTCCCAGGATCATCATCCATCCGCCTGAATTTCGAAAATGTCATACTTTTGTACATTACTTTTGACTTGAGCTTTGCAATGATTTAAGCTTAGACATTGATTTAGCTCCCCTTAAATTATAACATGACAAATGCAACTATGTCAATGAATTTTTAAAATTATGACGGCAGAAATAGTGAATTAGTGTGTTCCGGGTACCCTACCTCGTGAATGGTCCTTGTTGCTTGTTTTTTTAAATGATGAATGACTGGAGAGAATTTTTATAGCTATTAACCCAAAACTCCAAACAATAAAAAGTATGACAAGACTAAAGAGCAGGAGAGAGTGTGGAGTGACTTATGATGCAGAATCACCTGCTTTGCTTTATTTATGATTGCTATACTTCTAGATATTTTGTACTTTGTGTAATGTGTAGTTTCCAGCTAAATCTGTCATCTATTGTCATCCCAAGGAATTTGTTTTCATGCACCCTATCAAAGGCAAACCCATCTATTTCAAACGGCACCTGTGCATTTATACCATACTTTCCAAATAACAAAAAATGTGCCTTGCTCACATTTAAAGATAATTTGTTCACATCAATTTATTCAATTCGTCATTGAGTTCAACCTGTAATTTTTCCACATTATTGCCAGAGCAAAAAACATTTGTGTCATCCGCAAGAAGTACCAGTGACGGCAGCTTTGATACTTATTGTCAAGCAAATATCATTTATGTCAAGAATAAAACGTTTTGGCCCTAACCATTAGGCCTATTTTAGGGAGGCTTCAGCCTCCCTAAAAATGTCTTTAGCCCCCCTAAATAATTTACGAATAACTACTTTAAAATGTATTATTTTGCTGATCGGCTACAGCCAATGAAACATCACACTCACCCAATGGTACAACAAATACTGTTGACCGGGTCAAATATGGACTGAGTTTCCTTCTGTACATTTGGCCCTGGAAAACAAACAAATAGAACTTAAATTTAGCTAAAAAAATATTTTGATTTAGTGGACTGCAAGAAATTGTTAAAGTGTATGATTCGCACCGTGTACAAAATCAGAATGTACCTAAAACCACGATTACAGAGGAGAATGTCTAAAATTATTAGTCAAAGATTTTTTTCTTCATTTTTACGCTTACACTTATGTGTGGTTTGTTTCACTGTGTTTAAATAATTACATCCACCACTTCATTGCTGTGAGAAATGCTTTAATGATCTGCCTTCAACATGTTGATAAAAAAAAACATGAATATAATATAGCAACAATGAAACTATTCCAACAAAGTTATTACAGTAAAATTCACCTGAATCATCGCAGAACCGTATTCAACATGAAGCGATCCGATTTGCTAAACCATTAACCTCTTGCGATACATGCAGTAAAATCTGACAATCGAGGGACACTAAAATTCCGTGCTTATAGGTGTTTAGAGTTTTCTTTTGAAGAAATAATTAATTGACAACAAAGCCAACTTGCTCATAAAATGTGTGAAGGAATGTTCGCAAACCAGTATGGAACATGTCTGTTTTAAAACCTTTCAGTGGGGAAGACATAGGAATCGGCAGCTTCTACAATGCTTGAAGCTAAGTGAAATTCTTGTGTGGCTTTATTGGCCCAGTCCACTGACGCATCAGAACTCTCTTCCAAGTAGTCAACAGTTTGGTCACTGTTAGTGTCTTCTTCTGCTGGAAAACCCTGACACAAGCTAGCATCGCCCTGGGTCAAAAACAGCAGGCTTGCTGGGCGAGAAAGCTTGTTGGGTTGCAAAGGTGCTAATGAGAGAGACACGTACGGTAATTCATATATGCGTTACCACTAACTACTGTATTATTTGTTCAAATTATAGCACCACAAATCAAGAACTTCATTTTACTTGCTATTATAATTACCCGTAGTCAATATCTTCTTCTGGTTCTTTTTTGAAGCTGCAGTCTTATATGTATGTATAAAAGAAAGAAATCCAACATATCTCAAAAGGAGTGAGATGAAGTAACATTGATTCACTCCTATGCCTTGTATCATGAATTTTATACACACACACACACACACACACACACACACACACACACACACACACACACACACACACACACACACACACACACCTCCATAATATTATATGAACAAAAATAATAACACTAAATACATGTAAAGACAATACACATGTATCCCATATATACATACACATCCCCCACACCTTCCCAGGATCATCATCCATCCCCCTGTATTTCGAAAACGTCATACTTTTGTACAGTACTTTTGACTTGAGCTTTGCAATGATTTAAGCTTAGACATTGATTTAGCTCCCCTTAAATTATAACATGACAAATGCAACTATGTCAATGAATTTTTAAAATTATGACGGCAGAAATAGTGAATTAGTGTGTTCCGGGTACCCTACCTCGTGAATGGTCCTTGTTGCTTGTTTTTTTAAATGATGAATGACTGGAGAGAATTTTTATAGCTATTAACCCAAAACTCCAAACAATAAAAAGTATGACAAGACTAAAGAGCAGGAGAGAGTGTGGAGTGACTTATGATGCAGAACCACCTGCTTTGCTTTATTTATGATTGCTATACTTCTAGATATTTTGTACTTTGTGTAATGTGTAGTTTCCAGCTAAATCTGTCATCTATTGTCACCCCAAGGAATTTGTTTTCATGCACCCTATCAAAGGCAAACCCATCTATTTCAAACGGCACCTGTGCATTTATACGATACTTTCCAAACAACAAAAAATGTGCCTCGCTCACATTTAAAAATAATTTGTTCACATCAATTTGTTCAATTCTTCATTGAGTTCAACCTGTAATTTTTCCACATTATTGCCAGAGCAAAAAACATTTGTGTCATCCGCAAGAAGTACCAGTGACGGCAGCTTTGATACTTATTGTCAAGGATCAATTGTGTCAAAAGCCTTCATGGGGTCAGTGAATATGCTAATTGTACTGTATCTTTATAATCAATTGAGTCTGTTATTCTTTTTATGGATTCACTGAGTGCCTGTGATGTTGTTGATCTATTTATCCCAAAACAGTCACAAGAAGATGCTTTGGGCAAATGATGGACAACTCGTTACCAGTCAATGACAGGGTACGGTATAAAAACAGACCGGCACACTAATATTCCCACCTTCCCACCAAGGTCTGCGCCAAAGTTTGGCAAAAATACCATTTCAGCATTTGTGATGTGTCACTAAACCTGATAGTATAAATATGTTTCATTAGGTATATTATCTGAATAGGCTGCCTCACAATCCACTGAACGAATAACTACTTTAAAATGTATTATTTTGCTGATCGGCTACAGCCAATGAAACATCACACTCACCCAATGGTACAACAAATACTGTTGACCGGGTCAAATATGGACTGAGTTTCCTTCTGTACATTTGGCCCTGGAAAACAAACAAATAGAACTTAAATTTAGCTGAAAAAATATTTTGATTCAGTGGACTGCAAGAAATTGTTAAAGTGTATGATTCGCACCGTGTACAAAATCAGAATGTACCTAAAACCACGATTACAGAGGAGAATGTCTAAAATTATTAGTCAAAGATTTTTTTCTTCATTTTTACGCTTAAACTTATGTGTGGATTGTTTCACTGTGTTTAAATAATTACATGCACCACTTCATTGCTGTGAGAAATGCTTTAATGATCTGCCTTCAACATGTTGATAAAAAAAACATGAATATAATATAGCAACAATGAAA